TTTAGGTCACAGTATTTTGAGTTTGATTTTTTTTTTTGAAGAATGCAATTAAGTGAGACATTAGTTTTATAGGCTTGCTTGTCCTTTTGTATTGCCAAACTCTCAATTCCTAATGTGAATAACTGGTCCCATTTTCAGTTCAGCTGTGTTTCATCTTTTGTGGGGACTCTTTGCAGCTGTCTCTCTGCAATATTTGTCCAAACAAAAATATGTTTCAAACTTGTGAAAACTATGTCCCCAAATATGCACTTTGTATTTTTTCAGACATGATTTTTTTTTTAAAAAAAGCTTGAACTTTGTATCTATTTTAATATTTAATTTTCTCTTTGAAAATTCCACCATACTGAGAGAAAACATCAAGAGACACAGAGGGAGATTTTCTTTTTAGGGCGAATTGTGACCAGCTCAGAAACAGGGCCTAGAGGGGGAGGACAGGACTAGAAATATGGCAGCCTGGGAAATATTATATATACATGTATGTGCATACATATGTCAGTGTACTGTTAATACACAACTGTATAATCTCGAAGCTCTTTCTCATGTGAGTCTACCAGGGCCTCAAATTAGTCTCTTTGTCTGTATGCATGTATATTTGTGTCTGCCTACTGGCAAGTCTCTTGCATATGTGCATGCATTCATGTATACAACTGCATGTGTTTTTATGTGCATCTGTTTCCATTGACTGAAAGTTGGACAGGGCCCTAAGTGTACATATCTCTTGGATAGCAAAAATGTACTACATCAACAAAATAGAGAGAGATCATCTTACAGCTCACTAAAGGGTTTCTCTTTCAATAACACAAAAAGCCATGTTTCTTTCTTTAAGATATCTGTATGCAGAGTGCTAGTTTCTAATAGCCATCAGAACATTCCTAAAAAGAAGTCCAGAGAGATAGTGGACAGAGCGATGCAGCTTGCAGACTTATGATTTTTTTTAATTCTGTCAGTTGGATATTGACTGACTTTCTAATGCACACTCCTCTAATTCTTAATTAGAATGACATAGCTAATTAATAAGTTTTTTCCAATTATAAATTAACTTAGGATCAGAACTCTGGCTTTGCATGTAATTTCCTATAATCACTAAAGCTACTGCAAAAACATGTCTCCTACCAACCGTAACTTTTTTATTTAACACAGACAGACAAGTTCTCACTGGGTTTAAATTTTACAGCAAATTATCTCTGTTGGGATTTAAGAAGGGAAATTTAAAAAAAAATTCACAGGAGTTTTTTTCCTTTTTTTTTATGCCCCCCCTTTCTTTCTTAAACAAAATAGCATCCCTTAATGGACAATTTCTTTCTGAGATTTAAAAGGAATTCATCTTAATATTTTAATGTTATTACAGGGAAGGAAGAAAGAGAGCAGGTGATAATTCGTTTTTTCATAACTGTTACCACCTTTTCATGGTTTCTGCAAAAATGATTTGGGAGGATCCCGCATGCTGCTCATTTATAGAATCTTAACTGGAGAGACACTTATCTCTTTAGTAATGAACCAGTGTAATTAAAGGTGGGAATGTGGAAGAGTTCAGGCACTGGCAACATGTCACATAGTTGGCTGCTGCAATTCCTCAGTGGTTTATCAAAGACTACTCCTTTAATATGGAGATTACACTTATGTACTTGTCTGAACTTGAAAGGCATTTGCCTAATTTACTTATTAATGAGATGTAAATCTATTTGTACGGCACGTCACAAGTTTCCTGAAATCGCTGCTACTTAACCGGTGATAAACCCTATGATTTAAATGAAAAATAATACATTTAGCTTTCCACATTCATTCTGTTAAAAATTGATATAGTCTATGTTAAATTTATTAATATTGCTTGCTGTCATTCAGTTTGCAGCTCTTACTGAAATATGACTTGACAGCGGCCGCATTAAAGATGTATGCCATTGTATTCAACAAAGATTAATGGAGCCCGGTAAAAATAGCTGTAAAAGAGAAAGTGATCCGAATGTAAAATCAGTGAATTAAATGAGGCCTTGCATACCATTTGTTAATATGCATGAGGAGGGAGGCAGCGAATGAAAATGTCTCCCTGCAAAGTTCATTTGGGAATGTTTCAATATTGTCTGAATATCACCAAACTATCGAACAGCAGCTTAATAGAGCCCCATGTACCACAGAGGTCTGTGTATGTGCCCTGTGCAAAGCTAGAAACAAAAAATAGAATCATTTGCAAACAGAACTAGAAGCCTGGAGTAAAAATAATTATAATATAATCATAATAAAATAAATCCATATGTATGATACATATGGTATAGTTGTCTTTTTTTTCTTCCCCTCTTCTCAGTCTGTCTATAGTGCAGGCTTTCAATATTAAAGCCACGTGTGATATAGAGCTTTAATGTTATATGCTTCTTTTTATGGGAGAATTGTATGCAGTAACACTTAAAGGGCTTAGATTCCAAGGATTTATAAGAGGTTAATATGTCTGTCTGTCTCTCTGTGTGTCATATCTATTCATATTCTGGGATCTATGTAGTGAAAGATTTTGCACACTTCTTTTAATATTATTTTCCAGGGTTGATTTATTTCAACAACCCTCATTATAAAATGCTACTGAATTCATAACCTACCAGGTTAAGACTTTCAAATAAATTAGCAGTGACAGAAAATAGTATGCAGTAATCATAATGTAAACATCACATATTTATCAATCAAGACACTAAAGTAGTTTGATGGACTTGAGCTATTACTGATAGACTTGCTTTAAGATTTGAATATGTTTGCTACCTCAAGATTTCACAGAATAGACTATTCTGAAATATTTTTCTTCGGTAATTAAAAAGAAATATAATCTGGCTAGATCTTTGGTAGTAAAGTAGTTAATGCACCAGGAAGACTGTCAGCTTGGAGGCAATTTGAAGGGATAACGTGCATATGTATAGTGTAAAACATTGTAGAAAAGCTCTGCCTAAAGCATTAACTTTCCCAAAAGGTTAAAAATCAGTGTTTGAACTCAGAACAATTTAGATGAATTTTTATTCTGAGGTTCAGTTTATTTCACGCATTTTGCAATCTCAATAGGTAGCACAATCTGTATAATACAGCAGTCCACAAACCTAGTTCATAGGATTCTAAGCACCAATCAGGTTTATGCTTCTTTGCTGATTTTGCTGAAGGGGAATGGGCTGGGGCCTTGACCTGGCCTCCATTATGGTCACTGATGAAAGAAGGGTTTGGGCCCTGTGTTGGTAAGCTAAGCAGTGTTCCAAGCAGTTATTGTCTGGGTACACCACAAGAAGGACAGGAGACACTTGTTATGGATTTTAATCAGGCCGCAACTTTATTATATAGATGTCTGGGACTACCCAGCAGATAAAGTGTACAGGTCAAGCAAATCCACGTTTATTCAAATCAATTCTCCAGGGCTTCCACCAGCCCCCCCTTTGTTTCCATCCAGGTCCCCCAGCCGACCCCTGGCTTGAACCTTACCATCCATCACCCTTGTAAGAGGGTTAAGGTGGGCTATGAGAACAGGGTGGGAGTGGTGGGGGAGGGGTGGCTCCCTGCTGTACCAATCAGAGGAGTCCCCAACCCCCTCCCCCGTTCTGTTCCTTTATCCAGTATCTCCTTTTAAGTCCTTTACCAGGCCATTTATCTGGTCACTGGTTGCCTTCCCTATGGAGTACCTGCACTGAACATCCGCCCAACCTTACAAAATAAGTTGCGACATATGGCCTACCACCTTTTCTTCTCACCAGAAAAAGCCCATCCTCACACCCGCTGTGGGGAAGGCGAAAAAACCTCACTCCATCGAAGCCAATTCAGGTGGTGCGGGAAAAATTCCTTCCCAGCCCCACTTTAAAAGGAGCGACTAGTGTAATGCCCACAGCAGGTCCTAACCCAGCCTGCCATTCACGTCCACTAGGGGAGGGAGTGTGGGTACTGGCTTCCTCGCTGCGTGGAACAAAGAGACTTGCCCCACCAAGGTTTTGTACCTTTATGCCCTTCTGACGTCACATTCCTGGGGGGGGGGTGAGTCATTGCTGCAAAACTGACCACCGAGCACCTTTTTTACAGCAGTTTCTGACCTCCTTCCTTCTGCCCTCCTCTCCTCCCCCACACACACAAAGCAGAGCTGTCCTTCCTGGGTATGCCCCAGACAAACTCTTCCCCACCTTAGCTCCTCCTTTTAAGTCCTTTACCAGGCTTATTATCTGGTCACTGGCTGCCTTCCCTATGGAGTACCTGCACTGGACGTCCGCCACAAGGAGGCGCCAGCAATTTACTTGGCTGCCTCCCTCTAAACCCAGCTGGGTTCCCAGACATCGCCAAATGGCCTCTTACCTAGCAGCCCTACTGGGGACAAAGAACCCATTGTCCCATGTGTGATCATCAAGGGGCACCAGCAGCTGCATTGTCCTTGACCAAGTACTGCAACACCCTCCCTCCACGGAGGGCCGTACAGGAGACCCATTCTCTGGATCCTTGAATTGACAAGACTGCTTAAGAGAAAACAAAATAAACAACTTGTAAGCCTGGAGCCAAAAATCTCAATTCCGCCAACCCTTTGCTGGCTTCCTCACTGTGTGGAACAAAGAGACTTGCCCCACCCAGGTTTCATATGCCCTTATGCCTCACATTTCTGGCGGGGGGGGGGGAGTAGTGAGTCATTGCTGCAAAGCTGACCACCAAGCACTTTTTTACAACAATTTCTGACCTCTTTCCTCCCCTCCCTCGCCCCCGCAAAGCAGAGCTGTCCTTTCTGGGTAAGCCCAGACAAACTCTGCCCCACCTTAGTTGTGGTGCAGTCATTTGTGTTGCATGTGTTTAAGGCCAAACCTACTGTGATTCGCATCCTTAAAAACTGCATATAAGTAACAAAACTTGGAATATTTATATGTGAGGCCATGGGAGCCTTGTATTTCTATCTTTGAGAGGTTAAAAGGGGAACTATTCCAGATCTTTTTAAATGTCTTGTTTTGTACTGAAGGAGTGGGCCAAGCTATAAACATGACAGCTAACTTAAAACATGATCTCTTTTACAGGTATTGAAATTTTGCTATTAAATTGACTCTTGTCATTTGGAGAGGAGAAAATCAATGGTAAGTACCTCTCTTTTTCTTCCAAGAACCAAACTAGCAGGCAAGGGAGAATGAGAGCCAAAACCAAGCTAAAACAAAAAGCAACACATTAACTTTTAATATCTTATCTATTTATTCTATTTTGCTGTCTCTCAAGTAGCCTGGTGTTTGGTTACAACAGTATCTGTCTCTGTCCATGTGTTTAATATCAATTATAAAGCAAGCCCATTATATCACATACACCAAATCTACGTGATTTGGGTTTTTTTCATTTTCATTCAACTAGCAGTTTCAAAAGATTTTCATCATTGATATGGAAAATCTCTCAGTCTTCCTCTCAGTAGTAAAATGCCCATAGTAAAATGAACCATAGGGGCCATCTTTTATTTCTTGCATCTCTATAACCCGCAACTGACTTCTGTTGGAGTTTGCAGTGCACCAAGAATGCTGGCTCAGGGTCCAAGTATAAGTTTGAAATGAATGGGGGAGGGGAATCCTTTCCCATTTTGATTGAACATTTCATTACATTAGACTTTGTCATTTTCAGAGTAGGGATCAAATTCTGTCTTGGGGAAACTTTATTGACGTCAGTGCAGCTGTGTCCATGCACACAAAGGCTGAATTATGCCCATAATATTATGTTTATCTGTATGGACACATAAAAATACAAAAATGAAAAATACATATAAAAAAGGCAAAAAGTTTGATCCTCCTGTTCCCAACTTCATCTGACATAATTAATTAAATCCATCCATAGGGCCACTGTAATTGTACTGACCTCCTTTGTAAAGTGCTTTGAGATCTGCTGCTGAAAAGCGCTATATAAGAACTAGATATTATTAATGAATAATAAGTATTACTGATGGGCAGGAACATGTGACTGCTGCTTCTGAAGTGCTTCAACTTCTGCTATACCCCACAGACACAGTGTTCTGAAAGGCAAACTCTTTGCTCTCCTTTCTCTTCTTTCTGAGCTAAGTACAAGTTACTCTTAAAAGAATGAAAGGCCTCAGCATAACGTCGTAACAAATTCACATAGTAATAATAGCCTACTCCCAAACTTCTAAACATTATTCCTTTACTCACTGTCATCTTTTTTATTCAACCCACCTCAAATATTGGCACTTATGCCCAATGCTATGCATCTTCTATGAGAATTGGATGGTTGCCAGTTGTCAGGTTGCCCTCCATCTTGTAAGATGACCATCTGGGCAATCAGTGATGGGGAGGCAACCTAATTTTTAAGTAAAATAATATCAGAGATTATTTGAAATGAAGGGATAGCTGAGCAAAGTGCAATCCTTGCAGAAACCATTGTGCAACAGCAGAAATACTGATGGAAAAGAGTAAGGCAGAATTGGCATCATTGTAAATCTAAATTTTGCCAACCATTAACTGCTGAAAATTATAGTAAATAAAATAATGAAGAATGGCATCTACTCAGTCTTCCAAACTTATGCATCATATTTTAGGCCAAATTCAGACCTCCACTGAAATCAATCACCCACTAATACCAGGTCTGAAGTTGTAAACAGTAACAATCACACTTACCCTATATTTGTTAAAGGCAGAAATGTTTATTTCTTGCCTAAAAAAGTTTGGTCAATTTGCCATATGGAAGAAAAAAACATTTTACATCAAAGAAAAGTAACTACGTATCATTCTGCAAGCTTCACAGAGACTGAATTTCAACATTAAAACACAGATTGTTGTACCACTTGTCTCATTATAAAATGTCTTCAAGCTGATCATCAAAGCTGGTGAGGACACTAACCTATGAATCAAGAGACATGGGTTGTATTCCTGGCTTGTCCAGTGAACTGCCTGGGCAAGTCATGTCACTGCTCTGTGCCTCAATTTCCCCAGCTGTAAACTGGGGATAATGTTGCTGATCCCCTTTGTTACACTTTGCGCTCTTCTTATGGAAAGCACTATGTGAAAGGTAGGTGTTATTAGGAGTAGTAATAATAATATTTCAGAGCCTTTGTAACACGCTTTAGGTGTACAGATTGAAAGTGCTAGGTCTTATTATTTCACAAAATGCAGAAGTCCAGATATGACTGGGAGGTCATATGGATAACTGGATTTATAAATATGCAGCAATTACTTAATACAATGAATTCACAACAGGCATTAATCAAACATTTCTTCTTGATCTTCTGTATTTGTGTTCCATCATAGCACTTTTAACATTAAAATCATTGTATTGCTGTTTTGGTGGTGGATGGGGTGGGGCTATGCAAGGAGGAAAAGACGGAAAAGTCATATAAGTTAGATCAAGAAGGCTAAAAAACAAGCTGCTTACTTAAATGGGAATTATTATTTTTTAAACAGCAAGGCCCCCAAATTTTTCTTTGTGAACAAAAAATTAAGCAAGAGGAAAAGGTTAATGTGATGGTGGGGATGACAGCATCCCTTCATTTCCCTATGAACAAACGTCATTGCTCAGGGAGCGCGTTGCCATTTAACCTGCTCTGAGTCAGTAACCCCATGTGTTAAATAGTGCCACAGAGGAAAACAAAAGGGGAAAAAGAGGCGCAGCAGCAGCAGTTGTGTTCAAGGAGAAATGTGTTTCACTGCTACAGGAAAAATAAATAAATGAATAAAGCACAGCAAATGACTGTGGCAGTGGCAGGGAAGTGAAACTCCAAATCGGCACAGGCACTTTCCTTAAGACTTAAGTAAAATTCCCACCTATATATGCCTAAACGACTCTTTGAACAATAAAAAGTCATTAGTGACTATAAAATTTTGCAGAAGGCTGATGGAAGGCACTTTGCATTTGACTTTCACCCACTTGATTGGTGCTGTATCTCCTATTTGACCTGGTGCAGGTTCTGGAAGGTGTGAGAGCTCTAAATGAACAGCTGAAGTGACCACAAATTCTGATTTCAGTGATGAATAATACTTAGGACTTACACAGCACTTTTCTTCCTCAAAGTGCATGTTTTTTATGGTCTTGTGTTTACATAAGAAATCATGAAAGATCAACTTAAGAGACTGTGCAAAACATGCTAACTGAACAATTTTCCCATTTTCAATGGTACAGTGGGCACGACCTTTGGGCCATTACCAAATCCATAACACCAAGGTTGAGAGAGCAAGTGATACACTACTTGTCAAGCAGAATCTCTAACACATGGCTTCATAAGTATCTTACACTGGAATAATTCTCTTTTTGCATCTCATATACAGTAGCTAACAATATTGTAGGAAGCTAGGTACCTGACTACCCATCTGACTCCATAGGTGCTATGCATCATGGTTGGCCTCCTTTTATTTTCCCTTTCAACCCCTGCTTTAAAAAGATTGTGGGGACCCTGTAATACCCCAGTTCTAAAATCCTAGCCATGCCCCCGACCTTATGTGTTATTGCTACAGTCAGTGTCCTTCTGCTTTAATTTCTCTTTCCCTGTAGAGAGGAGAATCTCTCTCTCTCTCTCACACACACACACTCCTTGCATGTTCGTTTCAGGGAATTTCACTCATATTTACTTATGCTACTACCTTTATCTAAAGAGCTTCTGAACTTGACCAAAACATGTGCTCTTTTGAGGAGGGTTGGTAAAAACTGAAGCGAATATCAGCTTGTTGGCAGCCCTGCTTCTCCAGACTTCACTTGAAAGAGGAAAAACAATCATTCACATCCTTCACATTTGGTAGGATTGAACATTTCAAGTTCAGGGGCCTGATTCTTTATCTGCTCCATTCACTGCAGGATACACGTATCTGTCACCAAAGTGATGCTTATCCTGTAAAGGGCGTTGATGGGAGAATCAGGCCCCAGTTCATCACCAATGTTTTTTTTCCTTTCCACTATAGATCAGAACCAAACTACTTAAGAACCTTTCTCCAAACCCAGCATTTGAGAACAGTATAGTAATTCACAGGGGGAAAAAATCTGATCTGTAATATTTGGGCAATATTTTGTAGTTGATTGCCAATTAGGATTTTTTGGTTTAAGCATGAATGTCTGGCAAATGCAAACACTGGCACTTCAGCACAACACATACCTTTTGTTGTTGGGTTTGTTTTTATTTTAATGCAGGGTTTGCTGCAGAGGGATGTCAATGGAGAGTGCATTGCAGTATATCCCTGTGTGTGCAATGACATGAACATGACTGCAACCATAGTTACTCTTCTGTGTATTCTGCTGCAGCAATTTCATTAACTGTAAACCTGTTCACTGTTTGCCAATGAGCTATCGCTTGTGTTTGTTTACAAATAGGTTTAGCACTGAAGATTTGTGGGTATACAAGAAGGATCTTTCCACAGAAAGTCATTCTCCCGAGGAAAAAATTAACTAAATTCTACTGGTAAAAATTTACTTTTCAAATACGTTCCACGTTTACTATAAATAGCCACAGTCTGTCAACTCAACTAAGCAAGTCCTGGGAGCTTCCCTATTAAACGAGACCATTTGGAAGGCAGCCTTTGTCTTAAATGGGTCTGTAGACAAGGCATGTGTTGGTTTTTGAGTAATCCCAGCCTGTTTATAATCTCATCTATTACATGGAGAGGATATGAAAATAGTTCCCCAATGCATGAAAATTATCTATACTCTAGTGCAGACAATATAGTCAGTCTACTGAAAATAATAGAGTGAACTCAGCTACGCAGTTTATTCCAATGTGTAAAGTCTTTGTACATCATGATATCAAATAGTCTACTGAAAACATCATCCTCATATAATTGTATTATACAAGAGTAGTGTCACCTTTTGTTTAGAAAGGTACCATTACACTTTTATGATATACTTTAAGAGGGACTAGATGATACCATTGATTCTTGTACTAGCATTTTACATCAAAAGACCTATGTCTGCAGTCCAGGGCACTGAAATCACAAATGAAGTGAATTTAATGGTCTAAGTTTGGTCTCCAGAGAACAACAGAATAGTTAGTACCATCATAAAGTCTGACAATGTAGCCCTTTTGGCAGGTTTTTGTTGATAATAGGCTTGAACTGCAATCTTTTTACCATGGTATAAGAGGATCTTTTAAAGCAGGGTTGAGATATAAGAAGGAAGAATAAAGTAGGGAAGGCTGCAAAGTACAATATTGTGCACACCTGCACCATAGCTAAAGTAAGGTTAATGCAGTAATATCTGTGTGAAAACTGCCTCACCCCCCACATTAAAAGGAGCTTATCATTAGGGATTACCTAGCCACTGCACCAGCTGCAAGTCTTTACTTAAAGACTTAAAGGTAAAGCTCTTACAGTTCCCAATCCAGTGACATTTGCAGCTCACTATAATTTATTGAATATCTTCCAAAGAGCAAACACAAGATTTCTCTTGGTACTGTTTTAGTTGGGTTGTAAACGTTTGCCATTTACCAAGAAGAAAAATAAATAAATAAAGGCAGGCACATTTACACTTTTGCAAAGCATCATGTAATATTCTGAACCTGTCTGTTCATGCTGACTCTTTTCATGTTCAATCTAAACACTGTTTACTCACTTAAAGTCTTCTTATAGCTCAGCTATGAAGTACAGTACATGCACACTTTCAAAGCTTTCATGAAAAAGCAACTTGTTCCCACATTTCATTAAGAAGTGCCCTGCTTGTCTAAAGTGTGATTTAAAAAAAAAACAAAAACTTCCTGTAATAGGCATCCAGAAATTTTCATTCTTCAGCATTTACAGAGCCATGCTAGCTATACCTTTAGAGACTTAACACAGTGAAGACTCTTCAAAAGAGAATTTACTGAGGTTCTCTCCATTTATAAGGAGTGACAACCTATCATTGAAGACTAAAAGGAAATAGTTAAATAAGCCAAATTACATGCTGGGTGATGAAACATTTTCTTCGCCTTCCCAGTAACATGCATGCAAATTATATTAATAGGCTATAATTATGTAAACTTTATTATGTGTGTTAAAGATAATATTAAAATTATAAGACAACTGACACTTAATCATCATTGGAGGGTAATGATAAAAAAAGTCAGCAAAATTAACAGGCATCATCATGGTTGTTGTGGTTGCTATAGCTAAAGGAGCATGATGAACCACACCATTTTATATAATACTACTACTTAACACTTGCACTATGCAGTTCACCGTCAAATGGCTTTACAAACATTAACTAATTAATATACAAGCATTTGGGGCCTGTTTGCTAAATACATTCCCTACCTGTGCAAATTCACATGCTGCACATGCTTAAACTATCTTGTGAGTTTATATTATTATTTCTTCTTAACCAGTCTGCTTTATCAAAGTGAATTTACCAGGTTAGCAAAATCACACATTGTAGCCTATTGAATACAGAAGAGTTGGATGAAACAAACTGATGATTAATGTGCAGGATCGATCACTTGGAAACACAATCCATATAAAAGCAGTTCTGCTGACACTTCCTATGCGGAGGCAGAACTTCAGCTGGTGTAAATTGGCCCAGCTCCGTGGACTTTAATGGCCCAGCAGAGGATCTGGCCTGTATTGTTTTAATTCCCCTTTTCCTTTTCTCATACTAGGAACATTTCCATGAAACAGAATTGCAGTTGTTTAGTATTTCAATTGATGCTTATTCCTTAGGGAATAAGGGACAGAGCAAGCCTTGCACGCTCCAGAATGCAGAGTCTGGAATGCTGCCTGGTGCTTAAGCGGGCAAGGGTAGACTCATTGTGCTGCACTGCACAACCACATAAGAGCTGGGCAGAATTCCAGACCTGCATTCTGGAGGGTTCAAGTCTTGAGCTATCCCTACTCACTGGAGATAACAGGTGTCTCAAAGGGGATGGACATGACTTTACCCATCCCAGACCCCTGCCCTTATGCACCACCCAGCATAGCTAGCTGCCCATTTGATGGAAACAAGGAGGGGTAAGGTAATATCTTTTATTGGACCAACTTTGATGAACTCCACAAAGTTGCATAGTAGTAGATGTGAAGCCTCTGCGTATCCAGTAGCTCCTGGATGCAAAAGAGACAGACCTATAGCTGGTGTAAATCAGTGGAAGTTATGCTAATTTATTCCAGCTGAGAATCTGGCCCAAATGTCCACTGGTGTTGTCTCTGGCATGACGAGGCTCTAGACTGCAAAACTATATTTAAAGTTAGCCTGCGCCTATTGAGGTCAATGGCAATACTACCATGGACTTCAACAAAGGGAGGTCTTTATTTCTGTGCAGCGTACAGGAGGACCAAACACACTTTTGTCACTATACAAATACTAGTAATTATAATCACCTGTTAAGCGTCTCTTCATGATGTTAAGAATGATGCGCTAAGGGAGGAATGAGCAGCAGGAGCTGATGACTCATTACAAAAAAAAAAAGAAAGAGATCCTTGTTTTCACAAACTGTCCCTACTAATTGGAAAAGAGAACGAGAAATGCAGAAAAGACATGAGTAGTATTATTCCTATAGACAATGTTTTTCAAATTATCACTGGATCTTTAAAGTTTTGACCAGAGATAAGCTAAATCTGGAATCATAAATCTGAATCCTTTAAATACCTCAGTCCAAACCTGACCCCCAGTTTAAACTTAATCGAGACCTGGATCAGAGTACTGCCTCCTAAGGACATTGCTAATTTTCAAACGAACCTATAAAAGGATGTTGATTCAAAGTAAAGTTGATCCTATTCAATGCTTCATTTTTATGGCCTCAAATCTGAAGTTCATACTCAGTCCAAATTCCTATGGCCTAATCCTGAGTTTAATAGTGTGTGGTGTAGGGCCCACAGGAACTATTCAACCTGACAAGGCAAGTGGTGTATCCTTTTAAGATGTCATATATTTAAATGATCATGCAACTTCTCCTTCCTTTGAGATATAGGTCCCGCCCAGCCTGACTGCTAGAGGTAGTGCTCCTCAACCTATTTTACCATTGTGGACTACATATACTGGCCTCAAACAGGGCCTCAAACAGGGCCTTAGGGTGCGAAACTTCCACCTTGCGCCTCCCCGCCAGCCCTGCGGCAGCTCCCCGCCCCCCCCCTCCGCCCTGAGGCGCCCCCCCATGGCAGTTTCCCCCCCCGGGGAGCGGTGCGGCAGCTCCCCACCCCAGCTCACCTCTGCTCCGCCTCCTCACCGAGCACGCCACCCCCGCTCTAATTCTCCTCCCCTTCCAACCTTGTGGCGCCAAACAGCTGATTGGTGCCGCAAGCCTGGGAGGCGGGAGAAGTGGAGCAGCGAGGGCGTGCTCGAGGAGGGGGCGTAGCAGA